AAAGTGACAAATTTTAAGGTTACAAATGTAATAAATTTCCTCAAAATTTTCTGTTGAGTTCGAAAAAGAAAACATTGATATAGATTAATATTTACTGGGAAGGTGAATGAGTAGATATTCAAAAATATCTCTTTCATATTTACAGTTTCGTCATTATTTATTTAAGTAGTAGTAAAATGTTTTCCAGTATCTTATCATTTAGTACTAGGTATAATAGATAGATCTAAATTGATAAGAAATGAAATACGAACGAATATTTCTTATCATAGTTGACATATTTCTGTTATTGTTTTAAAATCTTATCTTTTAGAAAAATATGTAAGAAATGTAATGAAAGCAGAAAGAATTGCAGCTAAAATTATAAACTTTATTGGAAATATGAAGTTCATTTTGTAATTTTAATAATAAAGTAATTTTTATGTTAGATTAAGACAATTCGATTCGAATCTACTTGTAACTAAAGTGAATAGTCTTGCCAATAGATCAGTCTATAGTCTTGACTATAGATCAGTCTATCGACTTGACTATAGATCAGTCTATAGACTTGACTATAGATCAGTGTATAGTTTTGATTATAGATCAGGCTATAGTCTTGACTAGAGATCAGTCTGTAGTCTTGACTATAGGTCATTCTAAATTTTGACTGTAGAACAGTCTATAGCCTTGGCTACAGATCAGTCTATAGTCATTACTATAGCTCAGTCTATAGTCTCGACTATAGATCAGTCTATTGCCTTGGCTACAGATCAGTCTATAGTCTTGATTAAAGCTCAGTCTATAGTCTCAACTATAGATCAGTCTATAATCTTAAATACAGTCTATAGAGGTAACTATAGATCATTCCATAATCTTGAATAAAGATCAGTCTGTAGACTATAGATCAGTCTATAATTTTAAATGTAGATTAGTCTATAGACTTGACTATAGATAAACCTATAGACTTGACTATAGATCATTCTATAGTTTTGACTATAGATCAGTCTATAGTCTTGACTATAGATCAGTCTATAGTCCCAACTAGACATCAGTCTATAATCTTGAATACAGTCCATAGACTTGACTATAGATCAGTCTATAGACCTGAATATACATCACTAGACATCAGTCTATAATATTCAATACAGTCCATAGACTTGACTATAGATCAGTCTATAGACTTGACTATAGACTGATCTATAGACTTGACTATAGACTGATCTATAGTCTTGACTATAGACTGATCTATAGACTTGACTATAGACTGATCTATAGTCTTGACTATAGACTGATCTATAGTCTTGACTATAGATCTGTATCTATCTATCTATCTATCTATCTATCTATCTATCTATCTATCTTCTATCTATCTATCTATCTATCTATCTATCTATCTATCTATCTATCTATCTATCTATCTATCTATCTATCTATCTATCTATCTATCTATCTATCTATCTATCTATCTATCTATCTATCTATCTATCTATCTATCTATCTATCTATCTATCTATCTATCTATCTATCTATCTATCTATCTATCTATCTATCTATCTATCTATCTATCTATCTATCTATCTATCTATCTATCTATCTATCTATCTATCTATCTATCTATCTATCTATCTATCTATCTATCTATCTATCTACTCTATCTATCTATCTATCTATCTATCTATCTATCTATCTATCTATCTATCTATCTATCTATCTATCTATATCTATCTATCTATCTATCTATCTATCTATCTATCTATCTCTATCTATCTATCTATCTATCTATCTATCTATCTATCTATCTATCTATCTATCTATCTATCTATCTATCTATCTATCTATCTATCTATCTATCTATCTATCTATCTATCTATCTATCTCTATCTATCTATCTATCTATCTATCTATATCTATCTATCTATCTATCTATCTATCTATCTATCTATCTATCTATCTATCTATCTATCTATCTATCTATCTATCTATCTATCTATCTATCTATCTATCTATCTATCTATCTATCTATCTATCTATCTATCTATCTATCTATCTATCTATCTATCTATCTATCTATCTATCTATCTATCGATCTTATCTATCTATCTATCTATCTATATCTATCTATATATCTATCTATCTATCTATCTATCTATCTATCTATCTATCTATCTATATCTATCTATCTATCGATCTATCTATCTATCTATATCTATCTATCTATCTATCTATCTATATATCGATCTATATCTATCTATCTATCTATCTATCTATCTATCTATCTATCTATCTATCTATCTATCGATCTATCTATCTATCTATCTATCTATCTATCTATCTATCTATCTATCTATCTATCTATCTATCTATCTATTATTATGCAGTTCAAAATTAAACTTATGAATTTTGAACTAATTCTCACGAGAGTATGCATTTTGTTGTACTAGAAAAAAAATCAAGTTTATTTTTAACAAATTTCATCTAAAGGTCAGCACCAGATACCACCCCATCCATTATTCCACAAACAATCAAGAACAAAACTAAATAAATTAAATGAACGGTTAGATAGCATGAGATCAAAACACACCTCTAAATTTATCCAACTAAATACGAACTTGAAAATCTAGGCCTGTCTGTCACTGAAGGTTTCTCCTCCCCACAAATACTATAAATGTCTGAGTTCGGATTAAACAAAAGCACTTACTTAGCAATAAATACGACTTATGTATGATATTGCTGTTGTTATTGTTTTAAAACATTTGTTGTAAATTTGTGATAAATTACTTCGATGACATTTTTACTATTTCGTTAATTTGTGGTATTATTTAAATTGTAGTTTGAAAAACTATATTAGAAATTTATTGTACATATTTTCACATTTTCCTTTATGCAAATCAATGTTTTTTTGGAAAAGCGGCGATAGGCATGAATGAATTTTGTTTAAATAATTTTGTTATTAAGGCAAGGCATTGATCTTCAAAAGATCAATTAAATTGTTTATAAATAGAAATTATAAGTATTAAACGATTAACACGTAATTGATGATGATTATTGGAAAAAATTGAAAATTTTAAAAAATGTATCAAAGAAATATTATTTAAATACATACATAAGTACATACATATTAGGTCTGTTCAATAACTAAAAGCTGTTATTACATGTAACAAATTTTCATTAAAAGTAATTGAAATTTATATTTAAATACAAAAACATTTTTTTTGTTATTGAACAGATTTGATCTTTTATATCTTTAAGTTCATTATCACTCAATTGGAGTCTTAATGGAATAAAAAGGTCTCAATTTTATAAATATTGTGTCACATCTCTACAATGACCAGCATTTGTCATAATAATTAAAAAATATTAAAATACCAATTTAAACAAACAAACAGTTCAGTGTCCTGTTTTATTGTTGCCTTCCTTTCTCACTCTCTCCTTAGCTCTTTCCTAAAATACCTCACACATGTTAACAAGTAATTGTGAGGATATCAAATTTCAAACCACAGCCGAAACTCATTGACCATAAAAATGTTTTTAAATACAAATTTCATGGTACACTTTTGTTTTTTTTTGTGAATCAAGTACCAAATTCCTTTAAGTGTGAACCAATGCAAATATATTGAAATATTTCATCATAATTTTGTTGTAGATCCCTACAGGAGATTTTTAAATGTGTTTAATTTGTTGAAACATTTGTAATTTTTTTTTAATTTTCAATAATTTTACTATTTTTGGGAAATTTTAAAATATTTCCTTTTTTATAGGAAATTGTCCATAATTTCAATCTTTTCACAGGAAATTTTCAATAATTTCTTTTTTTATAGGAAATTTTCAATAATTTCCCTTTATGAAAAATTTCAATAATTTCCCTTTTTATACAAATTTTCAATAATTTCCCTTTTTATAGCAAATTTTCAATAATGTCCCTTTTAATAGGAAATATTTAATAATTTCCGTTTTTATACGAAATTTTCTATAATTTTCCTTTTTATAGGAAATTTTCAATGATTTCCCTTTTTATGGGAAATTTTCAATAATTTCCCTTTTTATGGGAAATTTTCAATAATTTCCCTTTTTATGGGAAATTTTCAATAATTTCCCTTTTGATAGGAAATTGTTTATTAATTTCCCTTTTTATAGGAAATTTTCAATAATTTCCCTTTTTATAGGATATTTACAATAATTTCCCTTTTTATGTAAAATTTTCAATAATTTCCTTTTTTCTAAGAAATTTGCAATAATTTCCCTTTTTAGAAGAAATTTTCAATAATTTCCCCTGTTATAGGAAATTTTTAATAATTTCACTCTTATAGGAAATTTTCAATAATTTCCCTTTTTCCAGGAAATTTTCAATAATTTCCCTTTTTTTAGAAAATTTTCAATAATTTCCCTTTTTCTAGAAAATTTTTACTAATTTCCCTTTTTACAGGAAATTTTCAATAATTTCCCTTTTTATAAGAAACTTTAAATAATTTCCCTTTTTATAGCAAATTTTTAATAATTTCCCTTTTTAGAAAAAATTTTCAATAATTTCCCTTTAAGAAGAAATTTTCAATAATTTCCCTTTTTATATGAAATGTTCAATAATTTCCCTTTTTATAAGAAATCTACGACAATTTCCCTATTTATAGGAAATTTCCCTTTTTTCAATTATTTCCCTTTTTATAGGAAATTTGTAATAACTTCCCTTTTTATAGGAAATTTTCAATAATTTCCCTTTTTATAAGAAATTTTTAATAATTTCCCTTTTTAAAGTCAATTTTCAATAATTTCCCTTTTTAAAGTCAATTTTCAATAATTTCCCTTTTTAAAGGAAATTTTCAATAATTTACCTATTTATAGCAAAATAATAATTTTGTAATATAATCTGTAGTGATCTTAACAAATTCGACTAAATCCTAAAAATACATTATTAACTGTCATCTTCATACCATTGTTTAACTAAAAATTAAAAACTGAAACTGACCCTTTATTTATTGCATTCAAAACTAATTTGAAATTCCTCCGTTTTTTTCTTCTTCTCATTTTAGCATGGAACTCAGTTCAGTGATCTTGCAAATTTCATTTCTTATAATTTTTGGCAAAATGTTGGCATTCGGTTTTGTCGGTCCCGAAGAGCGAAAGTGTAAATATTTGCGAGTGGATAAATTATTGAAAATACGCTGTTACGATATGAATCTGAAGGAGGTGCCGCAATATCTTAAAACATCTGTAGAGGTAAAGTGAAAGTGTTAATTTAATAAAAGTAAAATTTATGTAAATTTTGTCTGAACAAAAGTGGTTTTATCAGTTTTAATTGAATTAGATTTTCAATTATTTTTCGTTGTCATTTTAAGTGATCATTAACTTATGTGAACTTGATTTGTTGCATTTTTTCATACATTTGTATGTATGTGTGTATCTATGTATGTACTTTGTTGAAAGATCAAATGAATGAATGTAAATTAAATGGATTTGTATTTTAATTAAATGAGAAAGAAGAATGTTTGTGGTATCCACACTATCAGTGTACATGTTGTAACTTGCTGCAAATGTCACTCAGGGTTCGGAATAATTGATAAAATAAATGTTGTAGCTTAATTGAATTAAAACAAATGAATAAATTATTAGGTTTAATAGTAAAATAAAGTAATTTAAAATCTTAAATTTTTGAATATGTTTAAAACTTTTAAAGAAAGACACTTTCTTAAAGAAATTTAATTGAGAACACAATGAAAGAGAAATAAAAGAGCAATGTAACTTATAAAAGAGCAATCTTATACATATATAAATAGTGATTTTGAACGTGTGGTTAACAACTTTTTAACCGATTTTTAAATTTTATATAATTTTGAAACACAATTTTGTCTTCCTATTTATTATTCTTTATGAATAAGTTTAATATTTTTTTACAAAATTTTAGTGGGAAAATTGATATTTCCTGCACACAGTTTATGTTTTACTCCTTTAAAGTCAGGGTTGGAATTATTAAGAACAATAACAACAACAACTTCCATTTGTCGGCAATTGCGACAATTTATATCAATAAAACTTTATACTGCATATAATCATACAAAAGAACTGAGGTTTATTCGAAATTCTATGAATGCTGCTACAACACAAACCAAACACGATAACAATATTGCACTAAGACCCCGTTTTACGATGACATTTATATTGTTTTTCATAGGATATTGTTTAATAATTTGTCTATTTATAGAAAATTTTTATTAAAATTCCTTTTTATAGGATATTTTCAATAATTTTTCCTTTTTATAGAAAATTTTCAATAATTTCCCCTTTTAAAGGAAATTTTCAATAATTTCCCTTTTAAAAGAAGTTTTCAATAATTTCCCTGTTTTACAGGATTTTTTTTTTCAATATTTTCGCTTTTTAAAGGAAATTTTCAATAATTTCCCTTTTTAAAGGAAATTTTCAATAATTTCCCTTTTTAAAGGAAATTTTCAATAATTTCCTTTTTTAAAGAAAATTTTCAATAATTTCCCTTTTTAAAGGAAATTTTCAATAATTTCCCTTTTTAAAGGAAATTTTCAATAATTTCCCTTTTTTAAGGAAATTTTCAATAATTTATTTTTTTAAAGGAAATATTTAATAATTTCCCTTTTTATAGGAAATTTTCAATAATTTCCCTTTTAATAAAAAATTTCAATAATTTCCCTTTTAATAGAAACATTTTCAATAATTTATATAATCTCCCTTTTAATAGAAAAATTTCAACAATTTCCCTCTTTAAAGGAAATTTTCAATAATTTCCCTTTTTAAAGGAAATTTTCAATAATTTCCATTTTTAAAGGAAGTTTTGAATAATTTTCCTTTTTTAAAGGAAGTTTTGAATAATTTTCCCTTTTTACAAGAATTTTTTCAATATTTTCCCTTTTTAAGGGAAATTTTCAATAATATTTCCATTTTATAGGAAATTTTCAATAATTTCCTTTTTTAAAGGAAATTTTCAATAATATTTCCTTTTTATAGGAAATTTTCAATAATTTCCCTTTTTATAAAAAATTTTCAATAATTTCCCTATTTATAGGAAAATTTGAATAATATCCCTTTTTATAGGAAATTCTCAATAATTTCCCTTTGTATAGGAAATTTTTAATTATTTACCTTTTTATAGGAAATTTTCAATAATTTGTCATTTTTATATGAAATTTTCAATAATTTTTCTTTTTAAGTAAATTTCAAATAATTTCCCTTTTCAAGGAAATTTTAAATAATTTCTCTTTTTATAGCTAATTTTCAATAATTTCCCTTTTTATAGATAATTTTTAATAATTTTCCTTTTTAAAGGAAATTTTCAATAATATTTCATTTTTATAGGAAATTTTTTAATAATATCCCATTTTAAAGGAAATTTACAATAATTTCCCTTGTTATACGAAATTTTCATTAATTTCCCTTTTTATAGGAAATTCTCAATAATTTCCCTTTTCAAAGAAAATTTTCAATAATTTGCCTTTTTAAAGAAAATTTTCAATAATTTCCCTTTTTATAGCAAATTTTCAATAATATCCCTTTTTATAGGGAATTCTCAATAGTTTCCCTTTTTATAGGAAATTTTCAATAATTTCCCTTTTTTTATAAAATTTCAATAATTTCCCTCTTTATAGAAAATGTTCAATAATATCCTTTTTTCAAAGGAAATGTTTAATAATTTCCTTTTTTATAGGAAACTTTCGAAAATTTCCCTTTTTATAGAAAATTTTCAATAATTTCTCTTTTTATAGCAAATTTTAAATAATTTCCCTTTTAATAGAAAATTTTCAATAACTTCCCTTTTTATAGAAAATTTTCAATAAATTCTCTTTTTATAGCAAATTTTAAATAATTTCCCTTTTTATAGGAAATTTTCAATAATTTCCCTTTTTATAGGATATTTTCAATAATTTCCCTTTTTATAGGAAATTTTAAATAATTTCCCTTTTTATAGAAAATGTTCAATAATTTCCCTTTTTAAAAGAAATTTTCAATAATTTCCCTTTTTAAAAGAAATTTTCAATAATTTCCCTTTTTATAGGAAATTTTCAATAATTTCCCTTTTTATAGAAAATTTTCAATAATTTCCCTTTTAATAGGAAATTTTCAATAATTTACCTTTTTATAGATAATTTTCCGTAATTTCCCCTTTTTAAAGGAAATTTTCAATAATTTCGCTATTTCTAGAAAATTTTCTATACTTTCCCTTTTTTATAGGAAGTTTTCAATAATTTCCGTTTTTATAGAAAATTTTCAATAATTTCGTTTAAAAAAAAATGTTCGATAATTTCTAAATTTTTAGGAACATTTCAAATAGTTTTCAGTTTATAAAGCAGAGGAATAGTTAACCAATTCGATCAATATAAAAATGTACTGCAAAGCGAGGTTGTAGTGTAATATGAAATACATACATTTTGTATGGCATAATTGACGCTCAATTGATCTTAATTATTAAATAAAACACTTGTTCCAGCTATATGGCTGGCTTCCAGCAACAACTAATATACATTTATATATAATTTTATACTATTTAAAATAATTTTAAGAAAAATTTATTAAAACTAAATATAAAATGTATTTCTTTGCAGGTTTTAGATTTATCATTTAATCGCATTAAGAAACTTAAACGCAGCTCATTTCAACCCTATACAAGTGTTAAGTATTTATTACTCTATGAGAATATGATACAATCCGTGGAACCGGGTACCTTTTCACATTTAACATCACTACAGGTAAGTGACACTTTTTCACAAACGTTATAACACAATGACAGTTTTATTACTGTTATAATAAAACAAAAATGTTATTCACATACAAATTATCAGATTAATTATTTCACTCATTACGTTTGAGATTAATTGTTAACAAATCATTTTACTAAATAAGAAACATGCAATTGTCATATTAACTAATTACATTTTAGACAATCGCCTGTAACTAACAAATTATTTGAAATTATTATTAAAAATAAATCTCACACAATAATTATAACACTTTTGTTAACAAGCGTTTAATAACATTTTTGTATTCCCTTACAGGAAATAGATTTATCAAATAATGCTCTTATGACCATACCGTTGGAGCTGTTGCAATTACCCTCTTTAAGAAATCTATATATAGATAGTAATGAATTGACTTTCTTGGAAAGAGATCTAGAGGCTTTGGAAACTCCTATAAAAGCTCCTTTAGAATATTTAAATGTGGCCGATTGTGGTCTACAGGATATACCCGATTTGGGTATATTACCAAGTAAGTTTTTTGTTAAATTACTTTTTAAAGGAATTTGATTTAATGTTCAAATATTTTTTTCTTTCAGAACTTTGGCATATAAATGCCTCTATGAATCCTTTAATGGACTTAAGTATTGATCGTTTTGCCAATTTGTGCAATCTGAAGAGTATAGATTTAACACGCACTCAACTATCACAGTGTCAGTGCCAGCAGGTTAATAATCACTTAAGAAGTTTACAAGTGAAGACAAAATTTGTTCCAGTTTGTGTGGGTAAGTTGAAAGATAAAATTGATTAAGTCTTTAGAAAAGATTAAAGTCCAGACTATAGAACATACTAGACTGTAATGCAAACAATCGGCTATACTATAGTCCACACTATAGACCATATACCAGACTAAAGTCCAGGCTAAAGTCTAGCCTATTATCCACACTATAGACTAGACTGCAGACCAGACTATAGAGTAAACTACAGTACAGATTATGAACTAGACCAGATTATAGACTAGACTAAAGTCCAGACTATAGAATATACTATAATCCAGAGTACAGACTAGACTATAGTCCAGAATATAGACTAGACCACAGTCCAGACTATAGACTAGACTAGACTAGACTATAGTCCAAACTATTGACTAGACTATAATCCAAACTATAGACTACAGACTGGACTATAGTAAAAACTAGAGGCTAGACCATATTCCAGACTATAGACTAGACCCTAGTCCAGACTATAGACTAGGCAATGATCCAAGCTATAGACTATGCAATAGTCCAGACTATAGACTAGACCATATTACAGTCTATAGACTAGACTTTAGTCTAGCCTACAGACTAAGCTATACTCCAGACTGTAGACTTGACTTAAGTTCAGACTATAGCCTAAGTTATTATCCTCACTATAGACTCTAGTCCAGGCTATAACTAGACAATGGCCCCAACTATAGACTAGATTATACTCCAATCTATAGACTATAGTCCTGAATATAGACTAGACTTTTGTTCAGACTACAGACTGAACCATAGTCCATTCTAGAGGCTAGACTATAGTCCAGACAAGAGTCTATACTATAGTCCAAGCTATAGACTAGACTATAGTTTAGACTACAGAATAGACTATAGTTCAGACTGTAGATTGGACTAAATTTCAGACTGTAGACTAGACTAAAGTTCAGACTATAGACCAGCCTATTAACAACACTATAGACTAGACTATAGTCCAGACTATAGAGTAGACCATAACCCAGACTATAGACTAGACCATTGTCCACACTATAGACTAGACTATATTTCAAACTATCGACGATAGTCCAGACTATAAACTAGACTAGACTATAGTTTAGACTACAGAATAGACTATAGTTCAGACTGTAGACTGGACTAAATTTCAGACTGTAGACTAGACTAAAGTTCAGACAATAGACCAGCCTATTAACAACACTATAGACTAGACTATAGTCCAGACTATAGACTAGACCATAGCCTAGATTATAGGCTAGCTCATTGTCCAGACTAGAGTCTAGACCATAGTCCACACTATAGACTAGACTATATTTCAAACTATCGACGATACTCCATACTATAGACTAGACTTTAGTCCAGACTATAGACCAGGTTAAAGAAGAGACTATACACTAGACTTTAGTCCACACCACAGACCAGACTATAGACCAGATAATAGTCGAGGCTATAGACTAGACCGTAGCGCAGATTATAGACTACACCGTTGTCTAGACTAGAGTCAAAGCCATAGTCCACACAATAGACTAGAATATATTGAAAACAATCGACTATAGTCAAGACTATAGACTAGACTTTTCCAGACTATAGTCCAAAGTAAAGACTAGACGTATTAACAGTCCAGACTATAAACTAGACCATAAGCTAGACTAGAGTCTAGAGCATACTCCACTATAGACTAGACTATATTTCAAACTACATACTATAGTCTAGACTATACTTTTTTCAGACTATAGATCAGACTATAGATTACACCAAACTATAGACTAAACCATACTATAGACTAGACCAGACTCTAGACTAGATCAGACTAGAGTACAGAGTATAGATTAGACCATAGTCCTGACTATAGACTGGACCATAGTCCAGATTATAGACTAGACCAAAAGCCAGACTGTAGACAAGACCATAGTCCAGACTATATACTAGACTATAGTCCAGACTGTAGACTAGACTATAGTCCAAACTATAGATTATACTATAGTCCCGATTATATATTACACTAGAGTATAGTCCGGACTATAGACCAGACTATAGACTAAACCATACTATAGACTAGACCAGACTATAAAGTAGATCAGACTATAGTCCAGAGTATAGATTAGACCACAGTCCAGATTATAGACTAGACCAAAAACCAAACTGTAGACTAGACTATAGTCCACACTATATACTAGACTATAGTCCACACTATAGACTAGACTATAGTCCAGACTATAGACTAGACTATAGTCCAGACTATAGTTTATACTATAGTCCCGATTATATATTACACTAAAGTATAGTCCAGACTATAGACGAGAAAGAATTTATAAAAAAATACAAATTGTTAACAAATTGTTCTTCCTAAATATTTACAGAAGTTTTAGAAACCTCCATCTGTCCACTGCCTTACAATTTCACCATCGATTCTGAAACATTTCAGACATGTAAGACTACGGTGAAAATAGCAGAAGCACGAAGTATGTGGATGCTGGTAGCGGGCTGCGCGGGCGGCGTACTAGCAGTTATATTAGGTAAGTTATAAAGCTAAGATTATAAAAAAACAATCCGAAAATATATATTCTATTCTAATTTTTGTTTCAGTGGTCTGGTACTGCATCTACAGACGACGCAAGAGACGTAATAAGAAATTAAGAGCCGCTGCCTTGCATCGCAAAAGTTTAGTTATATCGCCGAAAAATGCCATAAATAGAAATGAAAAGGAATTTCACTGCATCAATCACAAAAATGAACTGTTATACTGTGATACTGCCTAAATAAAATTTTAATTTTAATTGAAATTGAAACCCTTCCTCAAATATTTACCAAACAATTAATTAGTTTTTAAGTCCATAATAACATTAATGCCATATGACTTTGTTTTGTAAAATAAAATTTAATTTATTATTTTTAACGGTTCTATATAGTTAGTGCCTTAGCTTGCTGTAGAAATTAGTATTATTAATTAAAGTTTTAATTAAACAATCACACAACTAGTTAATTAATAGTTTCATTAATATAATTAATATTTAATTATTATTAGAAATATTTTTTATAAAATCTTATAAAAAATTTTAAAAAAGCCAATCACAAAGGTGCCTTATTTTTTAAACTAAATTTATTGTTTAATATTTAATATGTTTAGTCAATTAATTTTTTTTTTAATTATTTTAATTTTAAGTTTATATATAAATTTATTATAATATTTAATTACAAAAATCCCACCATAATATTTAACAAAAAAAAAAAAAGGAAAATTAAACAAAAAACGACTTAATAAAATTTTAAAATGTTTTAAAAATATTAAATTGTTTTAAATTTGTTTGTGTTTTGAAAATTTGAACAAGTTTTTATTTTATTGACTTTTATTAACATGAAAAGTGACTAACAAATGTGTCATAAAAAGTTCAATGTCCTTAATATTTAGTCCTCCCACAATGTATGCAGTTTACATAGGAATATGTTGTTAGTTAAAAGCCTTTAAAAGTTCTAGAAAAATCTAGATATGAAATACAGTGACAGCGAACAAAGAGGGGAGTAAAGGCTATGACGGACGAAAATTATATCGTTTTAACGAAGTCTATTCTATATAGCAAACATTCCAGAATATAGAATAGACTATAGCCCAGACTGTTGTCCAGACTATAGACTAGACGATATAATAGACTATAGTCCAGACTATAGACTAGACTATTGACTAGACTAGATTATAGTCACGACTATAGGCTAGACTAAGGTCACGACTATAGTCTATACTATCTTCATGAATATAGATTAGTCTATAGTCCAGACTGAAGACTAGACTATAGTCCATATTATGGAATAGACTATAGTTCATAATATAGACTACACTATAGTTCAGCCTATAGATTAGGCTATAGTCAAGGCTATAAACTTGACTATTGTCCAGAACAAAGACTAGACTATAGTCCATACTATAGACCAGACTATATTCTAGACTATAGTCCTATACTATACTATAATCCATATAATAGACTAGACTATATAAAATACTATAGTCCACACTATATACTAGATTATAGTCCAGACTATAGAATAGACTATAGTCCAGACTATAAAATAGACTATAGTCCAGTCTGTAGACTAGACTATAGTCCAGGCTATAGACTAGACTACAGTCCAGGCTATAGACTGAAGTAGACTATAGAATATAGTCCAGTCTTTAGACTGGAGTAGACAATAGTCCAAACTATAGATTGGTGTAGACTGTAGCCCAGACTATAGTCCAAACTCTAGACTAGACTATAGTTCATAAAATGGACTAGACTATAGTCCAGATATAGACTAGATTATAATCTAGACTATAGTCCAGTCTATAGTCTAGACTCTAGACTATAGTCCAGAATAGACTAGGATGTAGTCCTGAAGTAGACTATAGAATATAGTCCAGTCTTTAGACCGGAGTAGACAATAGTCCAAACTATAGATTGGTGTAGACTGTAGCCCAGACTATAGTCCAAACTCTAGACTAGACTATAGTTCATAAAATGGACTAGACTATAGTCCAGATATAGACTAGATTATAACCTAGACTATAGTCCAGTCTATAGTCTAGACTCTAGACTATAGTCCAGAATAGACTAGGATGTAGTCCAGACTATAGACTAGGATATAGTCCATACTATAGACTATGTTATAGTCCAGACTATAGAATTAGACTATAATGCAGATTATTGACTAGACTTTAGTCCAGACTATAGACTGGAGTAGACTATAGTCCAGACCATAGATTATAGTAGACTATAGACTGAACTAGACTATAGTCCAGACTATAGATTGGAGTAGACTATAGCCCAGACTACAGCCCAGACTATAGTCCAGACTATAGCCTAGACTATTGTTCATACTATAGACTAGACTATAATCCATACTATGGACTAGATTAGACTAGACTATAGAATAGACTATAGACAAGGCTATAGCCCAGACTGTAGACTATAGACCAGACTATAGACTGGACTAAAGTCCAGACTATAGACTGGACTAGTCTAGTCCAGACTATAGACTGGACTACTCTAGTTCAGACTATAGACTGGATTAGTCTAGTCCAGACTATAGACTAGACTGTAGTCCAGACTATAGACTAGACTGTAGTCCAGACTATAGACTAGACTGTAGTCCGGACTAGAGACTAGACTATAGTCCAGATTATAGACTAGACTATAGTCCAGACTATAGACTTGATTATAGTCCAGATTATAGACTCGACTATAGCCAAGACTATTGAATAGATTGTAGACTAGAGTATAGTCTAGACTATAGACTAGACTATAAACCAGGCTATAGACTAGACTATAGACTAGACTATAAACCAGGCTATAGACTAGACTATAGACTAGACTATAGTCCATACTATAGACTAGACCACTATAGACTAGATAAACAACTAAGATTACTTTCAGAAAGTTCTACAAGCCCGAGTAGTAGAATTGTCCATATGTAAATATTTCAAAACCCACGACTCTGTTAAAATTCTAGAACTTTCGTTCACGTGTTCAAAAAAAAACAAATATTTTGTTTTATGTTTTTATATGCAGCTAACCTATTTAAATAAAAAAATAAGAACTTTATAACATGCAACAGGACTTATATGTAAACAAAACATATAGAAAACTAACGTCAACATAAATGAATCGATTAGAATTTTGCAACTTATCACTCAGTTCATAAAATCAACTCCAAACGACTGCAACACAAATACGCGACGGTACGGTGAATAAGCATGGATTTAAAAACTAAACTTTTTTGTTTAATAATACCCATATATACCCTGCTAGTGGTCGATGAATTACTCTATACGGAGGCATTTTTAAAAAGTGTACGTATCGATGAGATACCCTTTGCTCTGTCGTTGAAAATTCACAATCGTACAAGTGATAGTTCTTCCCTTAGACATCCGGTTCAAGATGACACAAAAAATATTTACGCCATGAAACGTTTGGATCAACATAAAAGTTTTCTAAAAATATTCAATATACCATGTAAGTTTTGATAGAATTTTAAAGTTTCATATCGCCCTCATCTCATCTCATTTCATTCATATATTTTCATCTTTCATTTTCATATTCTTTTGGACTCTTAGATATAATTTGCTTTTTTGCGGCTAAAGGTAAATGGCCGTTCATACCGCCTTTTATGCAAAATCGTGTTGATGCTGCCGCTCGCACTCTGTTCAGTCAGAATGATAGTTTTATTAAACAGTTTTGTCAGAAATGGATACAGATTAAGGAATGCTTTCGCCCGCTATTTTGTAAGTAATTGTTAATTTGTAATTTAAGGAAACTTTTCGAGTAATAGAGATCGGTAACTGTGTTATACAACTGCAGTTCTCAGAATTAAAATTTGATTTAAGACCCCAATGTTGAGAATTTTCAGATAAAATCCAACATTCCATATCCTCTAGAAATATAGCAATATATGCTCAATATTTGTATCCTACACTTCTGTAGTGGGGAGGTCCCTAATTTAAAATATGCTTATCGGCTCAGAATCATTTTTTGAGTTGATTAAGCTATGTCGGACCGTTTGTTCTTCGTCTTCCACGTAAACTATAAACTATACCAATAGGTTCAGAATCGTTTTTTGAAACAATTTAGCGATGACCGCCTGTCATAAACCTTGTAATAAAAGTAATTACCGCAGACTATAAACTAGACATAGACTAGACTAGACTATAGACTACTATAGACTAGACTATAGACTAGACTATAGACTAGACTATAGACTAGACTATAGACTAGACTATAGACTAGACTAGACTAGACTATAGAAACTATAGACTAGACTATAGACTAGACTATAGACTAGACTATAGACTAGACTATAGACTAGACTATAGACTAGACTATAGACTAGACTATAGACTAGACTATAGACTAGACTATAGACTAGACTATAGACTAGACTATAGACTAGACTATAGACTAGACTATAGACTAGACTATAGACTAGACTATAGACTAGACTATAGACTAGACTATAGACTAGACTATAGACTAGACTATAGACTAGACTATAGACTAGACTATAGACTAGACTATAGACTAGACTATAGACTAGACTAGACTAGACTATAGACTAGACTATAGACTAGACTATAGACTAGACTATAGACTAGACTATAGACTAGACTATAGACTAGACTATAGACTAGACTATAGACTAGACTATAGACTAGACTATAGACTAGACTATAGACTAGACTATAGACTAGACTATAGACTAGACTATAGACTAGACTATAGACTAGACTATAGACTAGACTATAGACTAGACTATAGACTAGACTATAGACTAGACTATAGACTAGACTATAGTCTAGACTATAGACTAGACTATAGTCTAGACTATAGACTAGACTATAGACTAGACTATAGACTAGACTATAGACTAGACTATAGACTAGACTATAGACTAGACTATAGACTAGACTATAGACTAGACTATAGACTAGACTATAGACTAGACTATAGACTAGACTATAGACTAGACTATAGACTCGACTATAGACTAGACTATAGACTAGACCATAGAGTAAATTATGGATGAACATCCGTCCAATCGATCGGAAGAAGCTAGAAGGCTGAAATCCTGATTATTACCTTGATGTTTATATTAAGATCGATATATGATAATACAATTCAATATGAAACTAATAAATAAACCATTCTTTTAAATTTGGAAATAAGTTTTGGGGTCATATTTTTTATTGATATAAATAAATGATTCTGATATCATTCAATGCCCCCACATATGACAGCATCCGCTTATATTTTGTTGTTTATGAAAAGAGTACTGCCAGCCTTAAGAAATGATCGTGTATAAGCTAAGACAAAAACCAAATTAAACAAAGCCCCTAAAAAATTTAAAAAATGGGTTTTTGGCTATACTACAAGCAAAAACTGTACAAATGAAGGTTGCCAGCTGTAAACTACATATAACATGAAATGGCTTGATCATGGGCTTGTTCACTGCCATAGTATTAACTAATATCAATATTATGGCATCCGGGAAGTGGTAGTGATGTATCTGTATCTCACAGGGAAAATCTAAAATTTTGTTTCATTCGACTTTTATGTTATTTGACAAGGGAATTTTTTGTTTTCCATTCGATTTTAATGATTGTCTGAAAGTGTTAGTCTAGATGTTCCGCTTTATCACGATATCGTGCTATAATGTTCCGTTTTATCGCGATTTCCTAACTGGGACTAATATCTCACCGTTTCCGACAAAAGAAATTTCTCTAGTAAATAACGTAAGAATGAATACGTAATTGATACCCCTTACTGTTTTAATTTGTTTAAGAGAATTCCTAGAAATATGTCGAGGTTTTGATATTATGGGCCTTATTCATAATTATTTATAAAATTTTTAAAGAATCAATCAAGTTCCATTATTCATTGAAATTCCTACAAAAAAACAGTTTTATGGAGGTATTGTTTATTATTTGCCTATAACTGTTGGACTCATTGACGTATTATTTATTGATGAATATAATCATTTTTTAGACTTAATCTAAAATGAACTAAAGAACCGCTAACATTGGCAAATTCTTATCTTAACTGATTTGTACTTAAAATATTAATTTGACATTGATATGGACTACAAATTAGCAACATCATTGAACAAAATAATTTTTTTTGTTTTTTAATTTTATCATCCAAGTGCAGTGTCATTAATTTGGTAAATAATTTATTAAAATATTTGTTTAATATAAGTTTAGATTAAAAAATTGATAACTTTTAAAAGTTTATCAATTTCTGAAAATATAATTTTATAAGTTAATCGGAAATATTCATTAAGGGACTCATAAATTTAAATCAACTTCCTCCAAATTTCTTAAAAATTTAATAATCTTTTTCCAATTTTCTTTTACAGCCCCGACCACAACTGTTTCAAGTTTGGATGTGGTCACTGTGCCCAATCAACGTTGTCAGTGTGCTAATCTAGTGGCTACCGATGCACCAGTTCCCGTTGTTTATTTTGATCGTGATCATATAGGAAATATCAGTGTGGAAACTATTTCGAATACTATAGAGTTTTTGCAAAACTTTTTACCACCTCCTACTAAGAAGGGTAAACGGAAAAATCGTGTACGTTCTCGAGTCGATGAAATGGAAATTGAATGAATGGATTTTTTTTTTTTTTGCAATCGCATATAAGATTTTCGATTACTGCCTTGTATTTATGAAAGTTCTAATAAATATTTAATTAAATATAATACTTAAATAAAAGTTTTGGTTTTACAATATTTTCGGAAGTGTTAAGTCATATTTCAGAAATTTAGTTTTTAATATTTGAAATTTTCTAGACTAGGCTATAGACTAATCCATAGACTTGTGTATAGATTACTTCATTTGTTATTCCTCAGATCTGTCTTTACGCTAGTCAATAGAATAGTCGGTAGACTAGTCGATAAACTAGTCGATAGAATAGTCGACAGACTAGTCGATAGAATAGTCGATAATCTAGTCGGTAGACTAATTAATGGACTAGTCGATAGAATAATCGATAGACTAGGTGATAGAATAGTCGATAAATTAGTCGATAGGCTAGTCAATAGACTAGTCTATAGAATAGTCGATAAAAGAGTCAATAAACTAGTCGATAGAATAGTGGCTGAATAGTCGATAGAATAGTCGATAGACTAGGCGATAGAATAGTCGATAGACTAGGCGATAGACTAGTCAATAGACTAGTCGATAGAATAGTCGATGGACTAATTAATAAAATAGTCGATAGACTAGTTGATGGAATAGTCGATTGAATAGTCAATAAACCAGTCGATAGAATAGTCGATAAACTAGTCGATGAACTAGTTGATACTCTAGTCGATAGAATAGTCAATAGAATAGTAGATAGAATAGTCGATAGAATAGTCGATAGAATAGTCGATAGAATAGTCGATAGAATAGTCGATTGAATAGTCGGCGATAAAGTAGTCGATAGAACAGACGATACTAGTCGATAGAATAGTCAATAGAATAGTAGATAGAATAGTCGATAGAGACTTGTCGATAGAATAGTCGATAAAACAGTCGATAGAACAGTCGATAGAATAGTCGATAAACTAGACGATAGAATAATCGATAGAGTAGGCGATAGAATAGTCTATAGAACTGTCGATAGAATAGTCAATAGACTAGGCGATAGACGATAGAACAGTCGATAGACTATGCGATAGATAGAATATTCGATTGACTAGTCGATAGACTAGACGATAGAATAGTCGATATACTAGGCAATAGAATAGTCGATATACTAGGCTATAGAATAGTCGATAGACTAGGCAATAGAATAGTCGATAGACTAGGCGATAGAATAGTCGATAGACTTGACGATGGAATAGTCAATAGACTAGGCGATTGAATAGTCGATAGGCCAGTTCATAGACTAGTCCACAGATTTGTCCATAGATTAGTCCATGGAATAGTCAATAGACTAGTCCATAGTCTATTCCATAGACTTGTCTATAGGATATTCCATAAACAGGTTCATATATCAGTCTATAGGCAATGTACTCTGGGTATATAGTAATAAAATAAGCACTTACCTTATTCAATACTTTCTTCAATTATTCCTTTTTACAAATTTTTAATTTGCTTTTACATTTATTTTCACAACATTTTTTTCTTATTTAGTAAATAATATTTACAGATTTTTTTATTTGCTTTATATTTTTTTTCTATTTCTTCAGCTTTTTAATATACTCTTTTATTTATTTTAACAACTTTATTCTTTTCTCATTATTTTAACTTGTTTCTTTCAAAGATCAACATTTTATTTCCTTCACTACATTTGAAAGCTTGTTGCTTATTTTCTTTTATTTCCTCATTTCTTTTACTACACTTATTAAAGCTTTTTTCCTCTTCTTTGCTTCACAAAACCTTAATTCACTTCCAACTATACCAACTGTTGCACTTAACACATTCTTCCCACAACCATACTTACATACATACACACATATATTGTATGTACATTATTTACTAACCAAACTAAAGCTAAACACCGACCGGCTCGGCATTTTATCATTTTCCAAACTATGTATTTTCACTAATTTACACGTTATTTTTTACCAATATTTTTACACAGAAATATTAACAAACATTTAAATTTTATATTTATGCAAAAATATTAACAATTTATTAACTTTTAACGGATTTATTAATTAATTAAACGACCACTAATCACCAAACAACCGAACACTTGCGAAATTTCTAGAAAACTAAAAGAGAAAAAAATGCAAGTAATGATTCTGTTGTTGTTGATGCTGCTGCTGTCATTATTTGATTTGTACTAAATTGTATGCCAATATGTGTGCAATGTGTTTGTTGTAATTTTATTGTGTTGGGTGGTGGGGGGAGAATATTTTAGAGTGCGTAAATAGATTAGTAGCACAATGTTAAGTAGAAGAGTTTTTAGTAATGATAAAACTAGGATTTTATAAATCGACTTTAAAATTGTCGAAGAATCGACTTTTTGTCGAGAAAAGTCGAAATCGAAAAGCCGACTGTCTTGTAAGAAAAGAGTCGAAGAATCGATTTATAAATAAAAGTCTAAAAAATAGATAGATAGAGAGATAGATAGATAGATAGATAGATAGATAGATAGATAGATAAGATAGATAGAGGCATAGATCGATAGAATAGATAGTCAGATAGATAGATAGATAGATATATAGATTAGATGATAGTATGCTGCTCGCTCGCTCGCTCGATAGCTCGCTCGCTCGTCGCTGCTAGACTCGATCGCATCAGCTCCTCACTCGCTAGCTCGATAGCTCGCTCGCTCGCTCGCTCGCTCGCTCGCTCGCTCGCCTCCTCGCTCGCTTCGCTCGCTCGCTCGCTCGCTCGCTCGCTCGCTCGCTCGCTCGCTCGCTCGCTCGCTCGCTCGCTCGCTCGCTCGCTCGCTCGCTCGCTCGCTCGCTCGCTCGCTCGCTCGCTCGCTCGCTCCTCTCGCTCGCTCGCTCGCTCGCTCTCGCTCGCTCGCTCGCTCCTCGCTCGCTCGCTCGGTCGGCTCGCTCGCTCGCTCGCTCGCTCTCTCGCTCGCTCGCTCGCTCGCTCGCTCGCTCGCTCGCTCGCTCGCTCGCTCGCTCGCTCGCTCGCTCGCTCGCTCGCTCGTCGCTCGCTCGCTCGCTCGCTCGCTCGCTCGCTCGCTCTCGCTCGCTCGCTCGCTCGCTCGCTCGCTCGCTCGCTCCGCTCGCTCTGCTCGCTCGCTCGCTCGCTCGCTCGCTCGCTCGCTCGCTCGCTCGCTCGCTCTCTCGCTCGCTCGCTCGCTCTCTCGCTCGCTCGCTCGCTCGCTCGCTCGCTCGCTCGATAGCTCGCTCGCTCGATCGCTCGCGCGCTCGCGCCGCTCGCTGCTCGCTCGCTCGCTCGCTTCGCTGCTCGTCGCTCGCTCGCTCGCTCGCTCGCTGCTCGCTCGCTCCTCGCTCGCTCGCTCTCGCTCGCTCGCTCGCTCGCTCGCTCGCTCGCTCGCTCAGCTCGCTCGCTCGCTCCTCGCTCGCTCGCTCGCTCGCTCGCTCGCTCGCTCGCTCGCCGCGCTCGCTCGCTCGCTCGCTCGCTCGCTCGCTCGCTCGCTCGCTCTCTCGCTCGCTCGCTCGCATCGCTACGCTCGCCTCGCTCGCTCTCGCTCGCTCGCTCGCTCGCTCGCTCGCTCGCTCGCTCGCTCGCTCGCTCGCTCGCTCGCTCGCTCGCTCGCTCGCCTCGCTCGCTCGCTCGCTCGCTAGCTCGCTCGCTCGCTCGCTCGCTCTCGCTTCGCTCGCTCGCTCGCTCGCTCGCTCGCTCGCTCGCTCGCTCGCTCGCTCGCTCGCTCGCTCGCTCGCTCGCTCGCTCGCTCAGCTCGCTCGCTCGCTCGCTCGCTCGCTCGCTCGCTCGCTCGCTCGCTCGCTCGCCGCTCGCTCGCTCGCTCGCTCGCTCGCTCGCTCGCTCGCCTCGCTCGCTCGCTCGCTAGCCTCGCTCGCTCGCTCGCTCGCTCGCTCTCTCGCTCGCTCGCTCGCTCGCTCGCTCTCTCCTCGCTCGCTCGCTCGCTGCGCTCGCTCGCTCGCTCGCTCTCGCTCGCTCGCTCGCTCGCTCGCTCGCTCGCTCGCTCGCTCGCTCGCTCGCTCGCTCGCTCGCTCGCTCGCTCTCGCTCGCTCGCTCGCTCGCTCGCTCGCTCTCGCTCGCTGCTCGCTCGCTCGCTCGCTCGCTCGCTCCTCGCTCGCTCGCTCGCTCTCGCTCGCTCGCTCGCTCCGCTCGCTCGCTCCTCGCTCTGTCGCTCGCTCGCTCGCTCGCTCGCTCGCTCGCTCGCTCGCTCGCTCTCTCGCTCGCTCGCTCGCTCGCTCGCTCGCTGCTCGCTCGCTCGCTCGCTCGCCTCGCTCGCCTCGCTCGCTCGCTCGCTCTCGCTCGCTCGCTCTCGCTCGCTCGCTCGCTCGCTCGCTCGCTCCTCTCGCTCGCTCGCTCGCTCGCTCGCTCGCTCGCTCGCTCGCTCGCTCGCTCGCTCGCTCTCTCGCTCGCTCGCTCGCTCCTCGCTCGCTCGCTCGCTCGCTCGCTCGTCCTCGCTCGCTCGCTCGCTCGCTCGCTCGCTCGCTCGCTCGCTCGCTCGCTCGCTCGCTCGCTCGCTCGCTCGCTCGCTCGCTCGCTCGCTCGCTCGCTCGCTCGCTCGCTCGCTCGCTCGCTCGCTCGCTCGCTCGCTCGCTCGCTCTCTCGCTCGCTCGCTCGCTCGCTCGCTCGCTCGCTCGCTCGCTCGCTCGCTCGCTCGCTCGCTCGCTCGCTCGCTCGCTCGCTCGCTCGCTCGCTCGCTCGCTCGCTCGCTCGCTCGCTCCTCGCTCGCTCGCTCGCTCGCTCGCTCGTCGCTCGCTCGCTCGCTCGCTCGCTCGCTCGCTCGCTCGCTCGCTCGCTCTCTCGCTCGCTCGCTCGCTCGCTCGCTCGCTCGCTCGCTCGCTCGCTCGCTCGCTCGCTCGCTCGCTCGCTCGCTCGCTTCTCGCTCGCTCGCTCCTCGCTCGCTCGCTCGCTCGCTCGCTCGCTCGCTCTCGCTCGCTGCTCGCTCGCTCTCTCGCTCGCTCGCTCGCTCGCTCGCTCGCTCGCCTCGCTCGCTCGCTCGCTCGCTCGCTCTCGCTCGCTCTCGCTCGCTCCTCGCTCGCTCGCTCGCTCCT